GTCAATGTTATTTATAAACACCTTATTTTTCACATTAAAATAGGCATTTGTAACTTACATCAGATCTGGCTACTAAATTCAGTCTCCAAAAATACAAACCAAGATTACTGAACAATCGCATTTCATGTTCAGTTTTTTTTGTGTGTGTGTTTACCTATTTCAATGAAGTTAGTGGACATTTTCAATGTGCTATTCCATAAAAATCACTATAACACACCTTCACTTATTCAATTTTGACTGTTAAATAAGCATTGCAGATATTAAAGACTGTGCTTGCATGATTTTTAATTAACCAATAGTCTAGTTTCCATCACAACTGTGAATAATGATTTGCTTATATATAATGATAGGCTATATATATATATATATATATATATAGCCTAGCTTTATTATGTTTTCTCCGCTCGCAGAAGCGCTGCAGGTGCGTGATGTGATGTGATGGCCATGTGAATCCTCATGTTCTGTTGTTTGCTGCTTTTTGCACATGTAAAATTAATCCCCGGGAAACAAATGTTAGTATTTTTAACGGGTCACAGACACTTATCCTTTCTAATTTAATTCAATTCTAATTTAAAATAATCTTGTCGGTTAATGGTTAACAATTGGTTAACAAGCGTCGGTTGTCGGTTAGGAAAAATAACCGAAATGAACATCCCTAGTTGAAGTACTGTTGCAGTAGCTACTAATTGAAGTACTAAAATTATTGTAACTAAATAAAAAATAAAGCTACATTGAAATTTTAAAAAAGTAATGCAAATGACAAAAGCACATCAAATTGCTAAAGTAGTTCATTTGAATGAACTAAAATTAACATGAAAACTTGATATATAAAAATAACATTTAATTCAAAATATTAATGAATGCTGTTATATTATAAATAATACTAAAAGTTTAATTTTGAAGAGTTTTGTTAGACAAGAAAGTGTGTACAATCCCTCAACAACATCTCAAAAGAGAAAATCTTGAAATGCACATACCAAATAAAAGTTAATACAGTCAAGCCACAAAGCTCATGGAAGGCCATGGGATCTTTAAATATTCACTTGGTTATCTCACATGAATTTGTTCTAGATCATTAGACATGATGTAATGGTGCTTTGCCAGTTTCATTAAGATGTCTCTTCATGCAAAAAGTCACTGACTGACAGAGCAGCGAAGCAGCAAGGACACAACCTTTAGTTTCTCCTCATATCATGCGTTTCTCTTCGCCTTGTTTGCTCCACCCATCTCTTAAACATGAAAATATGATGAGCGCAGCTACAGACTCAGAGCCACCACCCCTCCAGATGATTACAATGATGATGGAGACGAGCATCCTTCTAATTGGGCCCTCGTTCAAAACAAAGTACAATACATCTGACTCGGCTGGCAAATCAAATATTCATGACCTCATTAAAGACTTTATTTAGTTGATTCCGCTCGAATCCTATTAATCCTACTTGGTGCGACGGCGCAGCGAACAGCAGCTACAGCAATATTTTTGTGTTAATTAATATGGTATTCATGATCCACTTCCCCATTAAGTCTAATTTGGCTCATTCCGGGGTCTCACTTTTGCACACAGCTTAATTTCAACGCCACGTCTCGGGCATCCGTATGCGTTTCTGGCTTTCCGCCGATGTAAATGTGACATGCTACTAATTAAAATTAACCCATACACTATATATTATATTATATTTCTCAACGTTGTCACTTTAAATGAAGTTTGGAAAATGTTAAAATCACATCATACTCTTTGGTAACCTTTTAGTTTACAGTACTTGCTGACTGGTCTCAAACATCAGGTCTATAACCACCATAGACACTGAGGGGGACAAGTCCCTCCCCAATGCTTAGAAATGGCTAAACTGTCCCCCCAGTAGTTTCAATTCTTGCACTGTCCTCCATTACTCAGCGCTATTGTTGTTAGGATGACAAAAAGGTTTGAAAGTGACATTTTCAGCAGTCTAACCGCACTTGTCAATGTCAAAATGACCGAGATGGCCAATCAAATCAAAGTAGGCGAGGTTTACTGTTCACAGAAACAGTGAACGAATTCCAGTGCGAAGCATCAGTTTAACATTGAAACAGAGTGAGGTAAAGGTGGAAGTTGCAAATCATTTAATTTTTGATAACTGTTTTACCATAGAAATATTAAATGACCGACAGCTATATTCACTGATGCAAACTACTGTTTTTTCTCAAATATGGCAATTTTTGAGAGAGAGCGATAAAAGTTGTATGTGTGAATTACCTGCATCTGTGCATATCTCTCTACAAACAATGAATCTTTGTTACCCAATCATTTGTGGGTGAACTATCCCTTTAATAGAATGAAAAACATCAATACTTAAATCGCTTCATTGAGTCATTGCAGCACTGATATATGTGCTAGACAACACTATACAATAAACACACGATCTAAAATCTGGAGAATCACTTGTATCATCATTATATTGTCAGTTTGACTTGATCTGAAAAACTCGACTCGATGCTCATTTATCCCATATTGCTGACTTTAACACTCATTAAGTTCTTTCCCATGACAAAAGTCTGGATACCCTTGACTTGCGGTTCTGCATTGTACAGCTGGCTCCACGATTTTGCAAATCACGCAAATTAGAAGTGAATTTAAGGATTTTCTATCCAAACAAAAAGCCGATCCTCTGAAAGTCAAAACGGGTAGGATGGATGCCGTTTTATATTGAAACTGACAAGTCACCTATGGTTATGATTAAAATACAGTGAATTCACAGGTGAAAAAGTGTGTTAGCATGAAATAAAGTAAGTGCGGCTAACAGGCTCTTTTATAAATATCCAAGAAATTCCCTCATGTCTCCTCTGCCTCAGCTGAAATGTTTAGCATTTTGTTACTCTGTTAGTAATGCAATAATCTTTCTGTGATGACATGCCACAGTTTTGTTTTTTAAATGGTTGTGAACCTTACCAAACCTTTTTAAATTCAAAGGTCTCCAAACCTTTTTAAAGGGGTCATATGATGCGGTTTAAATTTTTCCTTTCTCTTTGGAGTGTTACAAGCTCTTGGTGCATAAAGAAGATCTGTAAAGTTGCAAAGACTGAAGTCTCAAATTCAAAGAGATATTCTTTATAAAAGTTGAGAGTCAGCCACGCCTACCTAAAACGACTCATTCTAACACGCCCCCACATACCTACGTCACTATGTGGGAAGATTTGCATAACGCCACCCAAATGTTCACGCAAAGAAAGAAGGCGTAACTTTTATTCTCACTGTAGTGTTGTTGACGCTGCAGCCATGTCCTGAAGACACTGTGTGCTTCGTTGTGAAAACGAAACTACTTTGTTTGGTCTTCCAAAAGATATCCGCTTCATCATGCCTAGAGCTGATCTGTGCTGGTCGCTAAGGGGATTCATCAACTTTCTGCGATTCTTGTTGCAGAAAGGTCAGATAGAATCTTCTCTAATGAAACAGTTTTGACCTGATTAATACATCTGACAAAACATGCACATAATAGCACCGTAACAGCCTCTTTTCTCTAGATAGAGCGACACATCCTGGCTAACGTGCATTGATCATTTCGCAATCAGCGAACAGAAGACGAGTCTTTGGTTTCTAACACCCCTGTCCTCATCCATAAAATCCTCTGCGCTCATTTGTAAACAAACTGTCATTTGATGAATGATGAATGTGTTCCATTCCTGGTCGCTAAGGGGATTCATCAAGCGACCAGGAACCATTCCTGGTTCCTGGTCGCTAAGGGGATTCATCAACTTTCACCGTGGATGAAGCGGAGTCCAGCCCGGGGTCGTCACACGTGGTTGCCGCTCATTCATTTGTCTCGTCGCTCCGGCCGGACACGGCAGTATGTGAGGGGCGTAACATTTCCATCTCACGCTTGAGGTATTCGGCCAATCACAACGCATTGGATAGCTGGCCAATCACAGCACACCTCGCTTTTTCAGACCGATGAGCTTTGTAAAAATCGACGCGTTTCAAAAAGGCGGGGCATAGAGGAGAAACAATAATGTACAGTATGTGGAAAATAATGTGTTTTTTGAACTTTAAACCGCATAAACATTTCATTACACCAAATACACCAAATAATGTTCTTTTTAGCAGCATCATATGACCCCTTTAAATGTTTAATACAGTTACTTGCATTACACAGTAGGCCAAAAAGGAAAGAAATCAATGTTTGTCAAACAGACAAGTTAACAAAAGTCAAAAGTCTGGCTGCACGAGAAAGAGCATATTCATAAAAAGATGTTGAAAATAGGAAGAGAAAGATAACAGATGGCGAGAAGAAACTCAGAACCGTGATGAAGGCATCAGAGAAGGACAGAAAGAACGAGTGACTGAAAAGAGGAAAAGGCACAGTACAAGAAGGAAAGGAGAGCACATTTAAAAGGAAAAGCATGACACAGGCTGCATGTAGGTGCTGGATGGCACACCTGCTCTCAGCTACACAATTACTCCATTTTTTTCTAGTCAGAGCATGAGTCTGGTGACAGATGGACAGTGATACAGCTGGGACGATGATGGGATGCCTGTCAGAGCACGGGGGATCAACATATGGGCACTGAACCAATAATTGAGAGCCGTTTCCATGTCTGTTCATGTTCCAGCCAGCAGCTCATGGACTGGTACAGTACCTGAAGATGGACAGTATGACTTATATAATATTATATCACAGTACACACTCTCAGAAAAAAGGTCCAAAAGTTGCTTGTGATTGGTACCCATATTAAAGGTACTAATATGTAACTTTTAGGGGTACAAAAGTATCTTTTAAAAAGGTTTCGCTCAAGTGCCAGCTTATGTACATTTATTTTAGCTTTTATTTTTAAATAGGAATTTATACTTTTATTCAGTAGAGATTTATAATGGTACAAAATATTTCTATTTCATGTAAATGAGGTTCTTTCCAAATTCTATTCATTAAAAATCCAGAAAAAAGATCAAGATTTACACAAAAATATGGAGCAGCACAAGCTTTTTCAACATTGATAATAATAATAAATGTTTCTGAGCAGCAAATCAGCATATTAGAATGATTTCTGAAGGATCATGTGACACTGAAGACTGGAGTAATGATGCTGAAATTTCAGCTTTGCATCACAGAAATACATTACATTTTAAAATATATTCAAATAGAAAACAGTTATTTTAATTTTGTAATAATATTTCACAATATTTACTGTTTTTACCATATTTGTAATCAATTTAAATGCAGCCTTGGTGAGCAGAAGAGATGTCTTTTTTAAAATAATAAAAAATCTTTTGAATGGTAGTGCTTACTGTAAAGTCAATGAGAAAATGGTTAACATATTAAATAGCCAACTGGTAATTCCAGAGGCACAAAAATAGGGTATGCAACATAATAAAACATAAAATAGAAATAGAGTATTGCATTGCAAAATCATATCCGAGCGGCAACCTCCCGCTCCTTCTTTGCAAACCTCATGAAAACAAAACTGGACCTTTGTGGCTTTTAGTCCATGTCGGTTAGGTTGAGGTCATCTAAATGCTAATGCACTCCAAAAAGTTGATAAATACGCATTAAAAATTGACAATGTTTCTCTTCTGGAAAAACAGAGCAATGATTTGATGGCTCATCTCGCCTGACGGGTGAATACAACTTTTTGTCCAATCAAATGCTTTCTTGAATAAGGAAGCCCCTCCCACTGATACCACCACCCAATCATCGATCACTACTGACAGGTAAACAAAAAGCAGTTGGATATTGGTTATTTAAAAGTACGTTTCTGACAAAACTTCCTAAAATACATCAACACAGGGAACTGCATTCGCCATCAGGCCTTTTCATCCAGCTGAGAGACGTTCAGCTGAGTAACTGTTCCTGGCAGGTAATGCTGGGACAGATCCAGCTTCATCATGTCCTATTTCCACAAACGTGTGTGCTTGTTGTTGCATTTAAGCTTTCCTGTCATGCATTATTAATCTAGCCTTTCTCTTACATTCAGAACCAAGGGAAATGGGAGGAACAATGTGACATAAAATGCGTCTTTTCACAGTCAAAGAGACCAAACACAAATAATTAAAGACAATTACAACATGAGCAATAACAAAACAGGTGGCCAATTATTTTGTCCTGCATTGTACAGAAATTTCTGTTTACATTTGGAAATAATTTAGATACTGGATAATTGGGAACCGTTGCAGAGAAAACTGAAGTTGACAATAATGATGATGTACTTCTTCACTTGATTATGTGAGACGTCTAAGCACTTTAATAAAGCCTAATCACTATGATATTTATAAATCATTGCTGAGCAGATCTTTCATTCAATGTATCTCCAATCAAGCCATTACTAAATCTTGTCTAGGAAGTCAGTGTAATTTATTGCTAAGCTAACTATATTAAACGATGCAGATGCTTTGTTGGAACACAACAGTATCTTACTGAGACCATCATTTGGGCTTTTTAATGAAGATAGACAAAAATACATCATGTATATTAAAATTGGAATGAACGAACAAAAAAATCCCCTTATATTGTTTGTTTACTTAGTTTGCATTAACTCTAATGAGGAACAAACTATGCTAATGAGGACGGCAAAGCATCAGATAATTTAGTTTGAGAATTTGATGAGAAATGTTTGAGTTTCTCTGATGTAATATCCCTGGCAAATCTACAGTAAACACACTTTAAGACATTCGTTTTAACACATTTCAGCTGCATGACCTATATTTTCAAAAATGTGCAGTAAATAGAGCACACAGAAAATATCCCACAATGCAATTCACTCAACTTGACCTTCCACTGAACCAGTGTTGTGCACGATTCTCGCCTCTCTACAACATAAATCACCAGGCAATACTTCTGATTTCAGATCAGGCACTGAAGAATAATGAATAAAGTTTGAGGGCAAACTGAATCTTGAAAAAACACTGAAAGTGCTGATAACTTGTTTTTTTAAATTCATTATTTGTTAAGATATTTTTCCACATTATTGGATTGCAAAAAAAAAATAAATAAAATAAATGATGATGATGATAATAATAATAATTATTATTATATATGATTTTTTTAGATTTATATTTATAGATTATTTATATATATAATAATATAAAATATGCAAAATACAAAAATAAATATAAAATTTGTAAATATATAACAATTAAAAATAATCAATTATTACTACTATTTGTATTATTATGAAAAAAGGATCATTGCTAAAATAATAATAATAATTAATATTATTATTATTAAAAACAAAATAATAATTTTTTTAGCTCCATAATGATAACTGGATGCCACTCACTGAACTAAAAATCTAACAGGAGAAGGTCACATGACAACAGTGTAAGACTGCATAATGTATTTTTCACTAACGAAATAAATAAATAATCAATCACTCAATTCCCAGCGTTGCTTAAGGTTTTGTCTTGGGAATAAGCTTAATCAGAATGGTTGACAGGTTTTACAGCACTTTGCTTTCACCATTAATCAGACAGTAAAAATCAGCACAAAGGTGATAAACAACTTGAGCTTTTATTGAGAAATCCGCCATCAGCCATCAGCCATCAGCCATCAGTCATACGAAATCAAACGCTTTTCCTTTAGACATTTGGCAAACGCTCACACACAGCGCACTGCGAGCGGTTTGAGAGGAAGCCAATAGGAATATATCTTTAAAATTAGCAAGCACGCTTCAGCTCGGGGGTAAATGGTCCAATCACAATCTGATTCGAATGCACTTTTTTCTTCTCAGTGAATAGGGTTGCTCAGCGTCTCAGTGGCTAGGCTAATGCTCCTCATTAAGTGATCTAGACTACCCAATTTGTCATTACTGTGTTCATTAAAAGAAAATGAGGCTGTTTTTTGTTTGCATGCTCTTCACACAGGCAGATGTCCACCTTCAAACATCGGCCCTGACCGTGTGCTTAGTCAAGGAAAAAACAGCATTTAGTCACAAATAGTATCCCTAACTAACAATTAGAGAATAGATTTTGCCATCTTAAATAAGCAATTATGCAGATGCCCGTAAGGGATAACAGTTCTGGATACCTAAACAAATCAAAATGACACCAAATGAACAGGAGAGCTGTGGCTAGTTATGTTCACAGCTGGGACGGGACACTGAGTTCTTACAACATGGAACATCGTTTTGCTCTTTTTCCCTGACTCCATTTTGTAATTACTTTCTCTTTTTCTCTAAACAGCAGTGGACCGTGCTGAAAAGACCAGGACAGCTTGTCACCAGGACTCTGTGTTATATATTGAATATTCGGATGTTTGCAACTACAGGCACTTTTATGAAGAGCATGCTTGATATGAGACCTGTGATGTGTGAAAATACAATTCAGATAAATATCACTTTTGACTAGGTTATTAGAAATATCATTTTAATCATTTTGTCATATTATGCAAAAAGCATGAAAGTATTATTCAATTAGGTGCATTTAGAATACATCAAATGTTATAAAATGATATGCAAGTCATTATTAAGTTGTCTATTCCAAAAATATGTAAACTGTCAATAAAAAATAAAATGGAGACTGATGATATAAATGTTAGTTCTGAAAAAAAGAAATGAAAAAATGGAAAAAATAATCAGTTCATTAAAAAAAAAAAGGACAAAAATTACAAAAATGTGCTGTGATGTATGTATACACTACTAAAACTAGTAAAATCGATGTAAAAGTAACAAAGAAAGCCCATAGTTAGAAAGAAAAACGCAAAACTGCTGTGATATAATGATTAAGCAACACTGTGAATATTGCAGTGATTTTAATCCACTTTTTATTTAGACATAAATGCCCGGTTTCACAAACGGGGCTTAGCTTAAGCCAGTACTAGGCCTTAGTTAAAGGGATAGTTCACCCAAAAATGAAAATTTTATTTTTATCTGCTTACCCAAGCAGCATCCAAGATGTAGGTGACTTTGTTTCTTCAGTAGAACACAAACGAAGATTTTTAACTCAAACCGTTGCAGTCTGTCAGTCTTATAATGGAAGTGAATGGGAATCACGGATTTGAGAGTTAAAAAAAACATACACAAACAAAACCAAATTAAACCCTGCGGCTCATGACGATACATTGATGTGTAAAGACACGAAACGATCGGTCTGTGCAAGAAACTGAACAGTATTTATATCTACTGCAATGTCTGAACTGTCCTGAGCGCGTCCTCAACAGCCGGCGCGTGACGCGTCTCCTTCTTCTTCTTGCTTTACGGCGGATCGCAGACTTATAAGTGCATTACCGCCACCTATCTCTCAAATGGACCATTGACACTCTATCTACAATCTCAATTAGGAGTGTCAATGGTACATTTGAGAGATAGGCAGTGGTGGAAAGAGTACTGAAAAAATATACACAAGTAAAAGTACCATTACCTTCCAAAAAATGTAGTGTCAGTAGAGTAAAATACTTGTTCAAAAAAACTACTTGAGTAAGAGTAAAAGAGTAGCCTATTTAAAAGTACTCATGAGTAGTGAGTAGTGAGTACTGAGCTGTGGATTCTACCCCCTCATAATAAACGCTGTACACCGCAACTCGAATTGTTATGCTAATAATACAATTTGTAAGGAAAAATGCATTAAATAGCGAAGTATTTCTGGGGAAACTTTTTCAAAGGAAAACACACACGCGTGTCTCTTTGCTGAGCCGCGGCGGTCTCGGTGAATCAGCCGCATCCACAGCTCAACGGAACAAAAAGTGTTGAAAATAGTTTGAAAATAGTTTATGCGCGAATGCACTTGCTAACTGAAGGCGGATTGTATAAAATGGATAAAAAAAAAAAAAGTTTATTAACGAGCTGCAGTTTTATTACATCTCACGTTGGCACAGACGCAGTATATTAACGCCACGGGTCATCAATAAGGTGCAGATTGGTCCTCAATTTGTGTTTCCAACACACTTTTTCACAGCGTGCAACACGCACTCAAACTCATCAAGTCAACAAGGTCCACAATGACTTATCCAAGTGACTGCTGCAGAACGCACGAGAGAGGCAGCGCAGATCGCGCGTCTCATAAGTGAGTGGGAATTTACCGAACGTGGCACTGTATGCA